GATAAATTTGTAAAATAAAATAATTGATGAGTGTAAAAAGTTAATTTGAACCTGGTCATAAAATGTAAGATAATCAAAATCAACCAAAAAGCCACTTTGCAATATGTGATTCACATCAAAATCCTTTAAACAATCTTTAACCAGTCCCAAAGACCGAATCTAAAGACCGGTCCTTCGGTCTTTCAAAAAAAGACCAGTCTTTTGGGACCGAGACCAGACTGGACTGGACCAACACAACCCTACTTTAATGGTATGGTTTTTAAGCTACAATTAATACTTGTAGTGAATTACATATAGAAGTGTTATTAACTCAAAATCTTGATTTTTCCAACATTCCTTGTTTCTATTGAACAGGCTCCATATTTGTGTGATATGAAAACATTTTACTTTTCTGTCTATCACTATATCAAAACTATGTTTTATGGCCATTTTAAATCGAAGCATATAAAAATGAATATTGAAACATTTATTAAGAACTATTTCATAGAAACACCTGATGAATTGAACTTTGATTCTTTTTGTTAGATATATAAATTTTAATATATAAAATTATCACTGAGAATTGAATGAAATGACAAGGATGAAATAATAGAAGGGTAGCTGGGATGCATAAAAATGTATGTACACCCTAAATACATCATTTACACAAAAACATACATAATAATTGTACAGAAAATTTATGTTAGTTTATAGCTTAGCTTTCAAAGATTATGAATATAGAATTTTCAGATATGATGGTTTAATTTTATCTGATTCTTGAGAAAAAAATTTTTACATAACTTTGGATAGTATTTTTTTAATCAATTTTTTAAAGATTTGATAAAATTTTAAAATCATTTTTAATAGTAAAATTATATTATATTTTTTTCTTTTCAAAAATGATCGGAGTTTGTTTTTTTATTATTATTTGAGCTGTATAAAAGCTGAGAATCTAAAATTTTAGATTTAAACACATGAATACTAGGATCCAAATAATATAAAATTTTTCGCATAATTATTATGTACATTTTTGTGTAATTAATGTATTTGGGGTGTCTTAAACTTTTGCTAAGGTGTATATATAATGCTTCTTAACAATGGCATATGAATACATTTTGTACCTTCAGTATACTAAGAACTGACCCACTTAGTGTGCTTTCAGTTGTTTACTAACAATACACTGACCCACTTTGTATTTTCATATGCAGTTTTTTTTTTTACTGAAAACAATAAATTTTAAAAAAATTTTTTTCTTTTATTTAATTATGAAATGAGTCAATACAAACAACATCAACATCAACAACATCCGAAAATATTATTAATAGTGATGAAAATGATGGGAATCATTTGATAATAATTTCTTTGCATAATTAGTTCTTTCTAAACTAAATCCAAAAGTTTTAAACAGAGGTTTTAGTTGTTCAAAGGATGGTAGGGAGATACTTGAAAGAGCTTGGCAAGCTGAGATATATTGTAGCTTGTATGAATGCCTGTCAGAAATAAGGTTTCTTGCTGAAACCTCTTAATGACTGCCGAAACTCTAATAAACAATTAATGTGTACCTTCTGAAACTCTGCTAATTGTCAAAATCCCTAAATGCAAAACTCTGAATATGCCAGAACAAGAAAAAACTGCAGATCTGATTAAAATACGAAAATGATTTCAGAAATCTTAATTTTGTTAATAATAAGTATTTTATTAAAATTCTTTATAATATAAAGGTTTCTAATGTTATTGAGTATATAAGATTTCTTATTGGATTTACCATGGAGGTGTTATACAATTTTGAGGGTTCTGACACAATGGCAAATTTTTTGTCGATTTTTGATACATTTTTGATACCATTTTACATCATTCAAGCTCCTTGATATCCATTAATCAATTTCAGATATCTTCCAAAAACAACAACCAATATCATTTCTGAAATCCTATCAGAAGCTAAATAGACAAACAAATAATTACAATAAAATTGATAAAGGAATAAAATTTTCCAATTAAAGATAACATGATAGTATATAAAAAACAACGAAAATGTTTACATATATAAAACAAGCAATAGCAAATTTCTTAAACAATAACAAGGACCCATTTGATGCAGGAGAGCTTCTAGAAGTGCAGGAAATAGTAGAGTATGTAGAGGTAAAAACGCCGCATTTATCAGCAGAATTGATATAGTCACATATTTTTTATTCCTGATTTTTTTTATATTAAAATTAATCATATATAGACACTTTCATATTGTAATTACTATCACTAATATTTGACAGTTCCATAACGTATTACAACATATAAATTTCATCATATATAATCACCAATTCATGTGACTGTAAATATTATTGAATTTTAATAAATTGTTACCATTGGAATTATCATTACCATTATTGTTGTTATTATCATTACTATCATTATCATTATCATGTCTCAACCAAAAAAAAAACAGCTATTAGTGAGCAATTGAAAAAAGAAATTTGTATATATTACCAAGAAAACATTCACAAAACTCATCAAGAAATTACAAATTTATTTTAGTGAAAAATTTCATTGAATATTGATAGGTCATCAGTAACAAAAATTTTACATGATAAAGAAAAATGGCTAGATGCGTCGCGGTTAGAATGTTACGTCGCAATTAAAGTGCGATATCGCAGCTAGAATGTTAGATTGCAATGAATTAATTTAATTGTATAAAAGAAGCTCAAATTCGACTTGTTTGTAAAATAACTTTGTAATAACTTTGTCTTAGTTTAATAACTTTGTCATAAGTTAATTAGTTTTGACTAAGGAAAACTTTCTTACTGTTACAAATTAATTAGTTTCAACTAAATAAAACTAAATAAATAAAGTAGAAATATTTTATTTAAAACTTTTATCTTCTTTAACCAAATTTATTTGCTAATACCAAAATCAACTCATTGATCCCCTATTCATTCTGATTCACACAAAACAAAAATAATTGTTATCACCAATTAAAACATGCTCTCCCAAAATTTAATTGGTGACAATATAATTAAATTACTCTTAGTTATTATCTTTGCAAAAATTTGACTTATGCTAAAAAGGATAAGTTTATAAATGAAGGCACAATTCCATTCAATATTGTTACTTGTGATGGTGATTTTGGATCATTGTTGTGTTGTGCAGTTCATTCACTGGTGGTGATGACAATTTTGGATCATTGTTGTTGCTCTGTAGTTCACTCACTGATGGTGGCAATTTTAAACTATTCATTGTTGTAGTTCAATGGTGGTGACAATGGTGATGTTGAAAGTTTACAACTGATAATGTGGGTTATATGTATAAATTGGGTTCTATAACAGGACTAGATTAAGGATTCCTGCAACCAAGATTGAATTTTTTTTTACATAGCAATGACTTGCAAAGAAATGCTAATAAAAAAGCTTTTACATTTATTTTTGTTGTTATTTTATTATTTACAAGAGGATTAGTATTGGATCCAAGAGAAGAAAATATCAGTGATAATCCCAGTGAAGAAAAGATGAATATAAGATCTTAGAAAAAAATTATTTACCCATCACCTTAAAATGCTGTTATGGAGAACAATTATTTATTTGTAATTTATCACTTGGAACAAAAAATTTATACTTGGATTAGTGCTAAATACAAATCAACAATTAATTAACTATAAATTGCTACCAACACCAATATGTTAAATATTTTTTAATTATAAAATTAACAGTCTATTTTCATACCTCCTTATTGACCTGCACACATGATTAGGACATCAAAATATTCTAGTATTATGTATACATATTTCTATATTTCTTTAGTCAAGACTATTAAGAGGTTAATAAAACTTGGAAATTTCCACTGAAAATGATTGAATGGATTTTCTACTAGTGTGAAAACATGAACAAAGCACCCAACATGTTTAATATGAAATTTTCTTTTTTTATCTTTCGGTTTCCATATAATTGTCAATTTGCATTTTTCCTTTTGACTAAAATAAAATTTTGATCCCTGTAATTCATGACACAATGTTTGTTTTGTTACAGCATATCCCATATAAAAGATATATATAATATTTTTTAAAATTTAATAATAATAAAAAACCAAAATTACTGAGTGTCAAAGAGGAAAATCACAGGGTCAATATTTGGTTTATTAAAAAGAATTTTTTTTATGAGCCCAATTATTTGATAGAGCACTGTTGAAATATGGTGAACGAGTTCTTAAAATATTTGAATGATTTTGAATTCTTTAATATTTAGTTTTTGCCCAACAGATATCAACACATTGTAATCATATGCATCATCTAGTAAGGAGCCAAAGTTTTCTGATAAATTAAAAAAGACACTCATTACTGAATGAATTTTTCTCAAAAATAATATACTGTGCAAAATTTTCCAGTTAGTCATTTGTGCCTTTCTCTTTCCAAGTGTAAACGCAATATTGCCCTTAGTAATCCCCCAACATGTTTCAACGTTGTTGAGTTCACATTGAAACTTAAGAGAAAAGGTGATTCTACTCCCATTACCTCTTGAGTTAAAGGCTTTTGGCTTTTAAAGTCATTTTAGGTTGCTACAAATATGTCTTGACAAAAATTACTTGAGAAATATAGGATTGTACTGGTTTGATTTTGTTTCAGTTCCGAATATTGGACTTTTTTTTGTAGAACTGAAATAATATAAATATAATAAAAATAAAAAATAGAAATAATTATTATTTATTACATTTTAAATCATTTGTTGGATTAAGAGTTGTGTTTGGATAGAATTAATTTAAAGTTTTATTTCCTTTTAATGTTAAAATCGAACATCTGGCAAATAAATATTCAATCTATTTAGTCATTTATTTTAACATGATCTTATTTTATTTATTAATATTTATTATTGTTATTATTATTATTACAGCATATTTCGACATTATTTAATTTATATTGGTTGACAAAGTCTACAAAAGTCTACCAAGTCGACGAGGTATATGTTGAGTGAAAATGAAATCTATCTGAATTCCCCGCATGTGAAAATTAAATTGGCCAATCAAGAGATTTCAATCGAATATATTACACAAAGACCAGTAAGGTCCAAAAGATTAATACAACCTAAGAAATTTGGTTTATCAAGTTCAAATATATATTATTTTTGATTTAGCCATTTATTTGAAAATACGTGTTCAAAATAAGATGAAAAGCTCTTAAAACACTATAGTGGGCTAATAACTGGTTCAATGTTAACACATTATATGTAGCATTAGATTCATCTAATAAAAGTCAAAATTTATTGATAAACTTTATTTAAGAAAGATGTTATCAATTTTTTTAAAACTAAATTGTAATTATTGATGTGATCTTTATAAAATTACATAGTATATAATGAAAAATTTAATATATAATTTAAAAATTAACTATTAAGTTGCACTTTGAATGCCTCAATTTCATTTGAATCAAAACTATTTGTATTGTTATTAAGTAAACTGAGCTGGTTGTAGTTACGATTGCCACTGCTACAAATAATATGATTATGATTCATACTTAAAGCACCACCACCAAAATTAAAACCCTCTGTATTAGAAATATTATTAATATAATTACTAATATTATTATTAACATAAAAAGCATGACTGTGGTTTTGTATACGACAAATGATTGGCTTTTTGATTTCATTAAAATTAAAAGAAAATAAAAAACTCTGAGAATCAGCATAATAGCCATAATGATTAATAAATCCAACTGAAGTGTATCCACCAATAATCTTGTTTATTTCATTACATTTTGTAACTACAAGACAAGAGCCTTGATTTATACATTTATTATTAAATGTATTATTTTGAAAACCATCACGTGATGCCTTATATAAAAGAGTAAATGTGTATTTATTTTTAGGTGGTGTTGAATTGATGTTTTTTTCATTTCTGATCCAATTGATAATTATCTTTAATTGCCCTGGTTTTATCAAAGGAGAATCAATCTTAAAATTAGATCTAGACAGCAAATTAGGATATTTTGGGATACTGGATGTCATATGATATGATACAATATCTTCATATAAATCAAATGGTATAATTGATTTATAAGGTCTAACTTTATGAAAAAAATCAGCTGAAGAAATTTGATAAAAACTAATTGATTTAACAAATTTTGATAAATTCTTTTTCAAATTATCAAAATCATCTGCACTCCATGTTGTAACATCAGAGTTTAAATTAGTTTGATAAATACCCCATTCAATTAAACTAGTCCAAATGTCAGTTTCTTCCATGCTCAAATCATCTCGTTTTAATAAATCATGTAAAATATTTTTTTCTATAGTTAGAAAGCTTGTTGAAGCAAAAAATGATTTGGGAGATTCACATATTAAACTTAAACAATATTCTTTCAGTTTCACACATTTGGGTAATAGATAGATGGTGTGTAAAACTTCAACATAATTTTCTTTAATCCAATTTGATTTATTTTTAATTAGATGATCTTCAACAAATTCATACAACTCCTCTAATAATAATTCATCAGATGCCGCCAAAACTCTAAGAAAGCATGATCCATCTACACTTTTCAGGTCAATCTTACCCATGTAAATATATCTAAATATTAATATATAATATGCATGTATATATTAAGTATAAATATTACTAGAAATAAAATAATAAATCAAAATTACTTGAGTATTAAAGAGAAAACCATGGGGTCAATATTCGGTTTATTAAAAATAATTTTATCATTTTTTTTATGAGCCCAATTATTTGATAAAGCACTGTTGAAATATGGTGAACGAGCTTTTAAAATATTTGAATGAGCTTTGAATTCTTTAATATTTGGCTTTGTTCCAACAGATATCAACACATTATAGTCATATACATCATCTAATAAAGAGCCGAGGTTTTCTGATAAATTATTAAAAAGAGACATTGTTGCGTTGTGTTTATTTTTTTTAAGAATGAATTTCTCGTTTTATATATTTTATGATGATCTTTTAAGATTTTCCAATCGCACAAACATGTCGTAATATACTGTGCATAATTAATACTAATACTCTTAACAAATATCTTTCAATGGTATGAGGCTAAAAAAATTAGTTAAGGTTAACCAGTTTCAACCTCTAAAGGCATTTGTGCCTTTCTCTTTTCCAAGTGTAAATGTAGTGAAGAAACCTTTAAATAGAGTAGAGAGCAGAATCGGAAAATTTTTGTCACGTTAGGCCAAAATTATTTAAGAAATCCTTCAAATAAAATAATCTTTTCTGCTTTTTGAAACAATAAAGTATAAGAGATACACAAATTGACAGTCCTTTTTTCTTTGATTTCTCAACAATACATTTAAATATGACTAAAATAATTATAATTAAAATAAGCATACTACTTGAGCAAACTACAGGATTAATATCTAGTTTATTAAGTTCAATAAACTCTTAAATATTTTTAGTAAGCTTTTGGCCCTTTATTAAATGAACTGAATTCAATATTTTTGGAACTTTATAAATTTTTTTTTTGATTATAATGATTATTATTCGTACTTAAAATCACCATATCCAAAATTAAAATAACAGTGACCTTTGTACATGACAAATGGTTGGATTTTTGATTTCATTAAAATAAAAACTCTGAGAATAATTATAATAACCATAACTATAATTGAATCCAACTGAAGTATATCCAGCAATAATCTTGTTTGTTTCATTACATTTGTAACTACAAGACAAGAGCCTTGACTTGCACATTTATTATTAAATATATTATTTTGAAAACCATCACATGATACCTTGTATAAAGAGTAAATGCGAATTTATTTTTAGATGAAGTATAATTGTGTTTCTTTCATCTCTGATCCAATTGATAATTATTTTTAACTGTCTTGCTTGATGTTAGCGAAGAGGAATCAATTTGAAAGTTACATCTGGATACCATATGATATTGGAGGGTCGCATAATGTCGAGCAAAAGAAAATGATAAATTTTCGAAATAAATCTAGTCCACGAAAAGGAGAGTTATTATTTCCATTTTTGATATAGCGTAATATAATATCGGTACAGAGAGATTTTTGAAGGTAACAATACCCAATTGTGAAAAATTCGTCATAATGCAACGGGAATAATAAAAAACACATTTTTTGGAATGTAACTCTGTCTTTTAGGCATGGTTTTGGTTTTCTGTCATTTCTTTTGTTCATTGTTTTTTTTTAGTCATCATAAAATTTACCTATAAATAATAAAAAACCATTCATAATGACATTAATTATCTACTCGCCACAATATGATATGATACAATATTTTCATATAAGTCAAATGGTATAATTGATTTATAAGGTCTAACTTTAATAAAAAATCAGCTGAAGAAATTTGATAAAATCTAATCAACAAATTTTGATGAATTCTTTTCAAATTATCTGCACTCCACGTTGTAACATCAATTGAATACTCCCATTCAATAAAACTATTCCAGATGTCAAATTCTTTCATGTCCAAATCATCTTGCTTTGATATTAATAAAATATATATAGCTGGATAGCTTTTCTAAACAAAAAATGCTCTAGAAGAATCACACATTGAACTTAAAACAATATTCCTTCAGTTTCTTAAACGAAAAAATTTAATAACAAAAATTACTTGAGTAACAAAGAACAAACTACAGGATAAATATTCAGTTTATCAAGTTTATATATTAACAATATTTTTTTGAATTGTCCATTCATTTAAAAATACACGTTCGAAATAAAGTAAACAGACTAGAGTGAGCTTGAATTTTTTAATATCTGGTTCAATGTTAAACACATTATAGTCATTTAATAGAAAGTCAGAATTTACTTAAGAAAGACATTGTTGTGTTAATAAAATTAGCAAACCATTGAATGTGACTGCCCACGCTATGATTTGAAACGAAGTAAGAAGGTAAAAAAAAAAAAAGGCTGTGCATATATATAAATGCATTACATAAAATAAATTTTTATTTACAACGATATTAATTTGCGATGTTGTAATTTGTATCTATTTTAATATTTTAATCACAATATTAACAAAGATAAAAAACACTCATTTCAAACAAAGAATAGTATTTTGTTCATAGTATATTAATATTGGCAACTAAATATTTCCGATTGTGAAAACGAAGTGGACGGCCTCCCAAAAACTATTTAGATCAACTATACTTATGAATTTGAAGTATCCATTAACTGAACATTTATGTCAAATACTTTTCTTTCAAATTTTTTTTTGTTTTTTGCTATTGACAATTTAATACACGTAATTTGATTTTTGCAAAGTTCGCATTAATATGATATTTGGTCGAGGTGACATACATTAGAATTTAGCACAAACTTTAAAAATAGAACCTTAAACACATGCAACTTTGACTTTTTGTGTGGCTAATACTTGAGATAATAATGGGGAATCAAACATCTTTATCAGTTGAGGGAGGAATGGCCTGTCATAACTCATCACACAAATAAGTTTTTCCAATTTTGAATATGTTTTGAGCTCCCAGGAAGCGTCTCTCTACCAACATGGCATATTAATTATTTGCGAATATTTATTAACATTGATACTGCATACTTTACCAATGCAATTTTTATCATTAAACACAAAATTTGCGTCACGTTATAGCCAAAATTTCTAGGATAAAAAATCATTTTTAATATGACGTGCAATAAGCAATTAACGATTACATTATAAAAAATTAAATAATGTAAAAAACATTTGATAAAATAATAGAGTTGGGATTATCTAACAAAGAAAAAGCAAATGCAATTGTTTGAAGGTAAAAATTAATATTATTTTTTAAAATCGTGACTAAAAATATTGCACTTTTGATTCTTGACAATGATCTTTTAAAAATTTAATATAATAATAATAATAGTAGTAGTAGTAAAATAAATTTAATTGAAAAATTTTTATATAAATAATTATCTGATTCTGTGAGTTTTCCATTTTAGAAATTAGCTATTAAGTTGCACTTTGAATGCCTCGATTTCACTCGCATTAAAATTATTTGTATTATTATTGAGTAAATTGACTTGTTTGTAATAATTATTATTACTACAACTAATATAATTATTATTCATACTTAAACTACCAGATCCAAAATTAAAAATACTATTATTATAATTGCCATTATTATAATTGTTATAAAGAGCATAACTGAAGTTTTGTATATGACAAATGATTGGCTTTTTGATTTCATTAAAATTAAAAGAAAATAAAAAACTTTGAGAATCATTATAATAACCATAATTATAATTGAATCCAACTGAGGTATATCCACCAATAATCTTGTTTGTTTCATCACATTTTGTAACTACAAGACAAGAGCCTTGACTTGCACATTTATTATTAAATGTATTATTTTGAAAACCATCATGTGATGCCTTATATAAAAGAGTAAATGTGTATTTATTTTTAGGTGGAGTAGAATTGATGTTTTTTTCATTTCTGATCCAATTGATAATTATCTTTAATTGCTCTGGTTTTATCAAAGAAGAATCAATCTTAAAATTAGATCTAGACAGCAAATTAGGATATTTTGGGCTGCTGGATGTCATGTGGTATGATACAATATCTTCATATAGATCAAATGGTATAATTGATTTATAAGGTCTAACTTTATGAAAAAAATCAGCTGAAGAAATTTGATAAAATCTAATTGATTTAACAAATTTTGATAAATTCTTTTTCAAATTATCAAAATCATCTGCACTCCATGTTGTAACATCAGAGTTTAAATTAGTTTGATAAATACCCCATTCAATTAAACTAGTCCAAATGCCAGTTTCTTCCATGTTCAAATCATCTCGTTTTAATAAATCATGTAAAATATTTTTTTCTATAGTTGGAAAGCTTGTTGAAGCAAAGAATGGTTTGGGAGATTCACATATTGAATTTAAACAATATTCTTTCAATTTCACACATTTGGGTAATAAATAGATGGTGTGTAAAACTTCAACATAATTTTCTTTAATCCAATTTGATTGATTTTTAATTAGATGATCCTCAATAAACTCATATAGTTCATCTAATAATAATTCATCAGATGCCACCAAAATTCTAATAATATCTGATCCATCTGCATTATTCAGATCAATCTTGCCCATATAAATATATCTAAATATTATTATATATATAATTAATATAATATGTATTAAAATAAGCATAAATGTTACTAGAAATAATTTGTTTTGAAAAAATTTAATAATAATAAAATCAAAATTACTTGAGTATTAAAGAGAAAACCACAGGGTCAATATTTGGTTTATTAAAAATAATTTTATCATTTTTTTTATGAGCCCAATCTTTTGATAGAGCACTGTTGAAATATGGTGAACGAACTCTTAAAATATTTGAATGAGCTTTGAATTCCTTAATATTTGGTTTTTTCCCAACAGTTATCAACACATTATGGTCATAAACATCATCTAGTAAAGAGCCAAAGTTTTCTGATAAATTATTAAAAAAAGACATTGTTTTATTTGTTAGTTAACATAAGAAATTTAGTTGGAACTGGAATTTGAAAACTTTTTTTGAACCAATCAATTGTTTACAACTAAATTTTTTTTGCTTTTATTAATGGGAATAATCTAAACTAAAAGTGCTAACTTTCACGCCAAAAAAATTACATAATTTCATGTGGATATGGCTTATAAAAAATTTCTTATACTGTGAAAATGAATTTGCAATCCACGTACGTGAAATTCAAATTAGCCAATCAAGATTTCATACCCAAACACCCCACCCCAAAATTTTAATAATAATAATAATAATTTATTGTTGTTATTGTTATTATTATTATTATATTATAGATTTCAATTTCACACTGTTTACAACGTACCCAAAATAATAATTAATTGCTGTGGCGTAACAAAGTGAACTAATTCTTTTTAAATAGTAGATGTTACTACACTTTTACGTTTATCTTAGAAAAATTTACTGATTTGTAAAAAACTACCTCTTAGTGAAGAGAGCTATGGCCCATTTATTTCAGCTGCAGCTGACACAATCAACTACAATATCCTCGATCAGAATCAAAGTGAAGATTTTTACTTCAATTGCTATACATCCCGATATGTTCTTGGGGAGAATGAATATTACAACTATCTTTAAAAGTAATTTAGGAATAGACAGCCAGTTTCAAAAAGTCGAATTAATAAATTTTTTTAAAGTTCATACAAAGGTGACTATGCAAAAGGAAATAACTAGAGATGGGCAAATGGCGTATAGTTGAACACTATACGACACTATACGATACTTTACGTATAGTGCGTATAGTACGTATAGTACGTATAGTAGTGT